GATCAGCGGCTGATTCCAGGAAGCCCGGGGCAGAGCAACTCTGCCTCGGGCTTCCTGTAGTCAGCCGCTGATCAGTTTAAGCAGCAGCTGACTTGGGGACACCTGGGGAAGAGCAGCTGGGGTGCTGCCCGGTTGGTCCAGTAGCGCCGAGGAGTGGCGCTACTGGACCAACCAAGCAGCACCCCAGCTGCTCTGCCCCAGGCGTCCTGGACTCATACGCTGCTGAAACTGACCAGTGGCTGACTACAGGAAGCCCCTCCCCCCTGGGCTCCTGGGTCAGCTGCTGATCAGTTTCAGCAGCAGCTGACTTGGGGGTGCCTGGGGTTCTTAAGTTGAATCTGTATGTAAGTCCAGTGGCTGAATCTGGATGTCAGTTAGCCGGGGTGCTGCTGGGTTGGTCTCGCCGCGCCAAGGAGTGGCGCTACGGGACCAACCCGGCAGCACTCCAGCTGCTCTGCTGCGGGCGTCCCCGATTCAGCCGCTGTTGAAACTGACCAGCAGCGGCTGAATCAGGGACACCTGGGGCAGAGCCAGATTATCAGAAGGGGGGCTATGAGGGGTCTGGGGTGGCATCCTCCCCACTCCACCCCAGGCCCCTCATAGCCCCCCCCTTGAGTGGCGCTACGGGACCAACCCGGCAGCACTCCAGCTGCTCTGCTGCGGGCGTCCCCGATTCAGCCGCTGTTGAAACTGACCAGCAGCGGCTGAATCAGGGACACCTGGGGCAGAGCCAGATTATCAGAAGGGGGGCTATGAGGGGTCTGGGGTGGCATCCTCCCCACTCCACCCCAGGCCCCTCATAGCCCCCCCCTTCCGATAGTCCGGCAAATCTGATAATCCGGCACCCCCTGGGTCATGTTTGAGATGTTTCTACAGAGTATCTATAAGGTTGGAAACAAGTCCTTTTAGATAAGGACAAATCCAACAAATCTGAACTCGAGACACAAGGCTGAGTCCAAGTGACAGTAATTTGTAAGCAAATGGAGAAACTCTGCACTTCCATCACAAAGCTCTTTGACAAATGATCGGAAGCTAGGTACAGACAACATGCATATTCTAACTACAGCTTGGCATCTGAGAATTACTGAGAAACAAGAAATTCAGTCAGCTAGTGTAAGTACAAGTTCACTTGAAAAAGTCTGAATTATATATAATCAATGGCTCAAAGTCTTTACAAATTGATTATCTTGTGAAACCAGGGTATTTTAAGTGCAATTTATCATGAAACAGATTACTGTGCAACTGAAAAAAAGTAGGCTCTCTTACTTGATTGTGAAGAAAAAGAGATCATCATCAAGTAGGGAAATAAAATCCCAGTTAACGAGTTAACCAGTTAAGTGTTAAGCTGACCTAACATTTAACAAACTTAAGTGACATTTAGGCTGGAGACCCCTCCAGCCCAGCTGGAGGAGTCACCAGCCCATGGGACACCCAGTCCCTGCACTGGGGCCTGCCACTAGCCCCAGCAGGAGCAGCCCCTGCCTGCAGGTCACACCTAGGAGCAGGGCTCCCCTGCCCCGAAGAGCAGCCCCTGTCCGCGGCGGGCCCCGTGTGGCTGGAGGAGCTCCCAACTGGTAACTCTGAACGAGTAAGCATTACCCCATTTAGTGTGATGCTTACCGGATAACCTTTAACATCCCTAGTATTTTGTGAGGCCCCTCCCCGCCCAGGTTCTGGAGTGGGGCCAAAAATGAAGGGCTGAGTGTAAGGGAGGGGGCTGCCAGGGAGTAGGCTGAGGGTGCAGAGGCTGGACAGAAAATTGAGTGCAGGAGTGGGCTGTGGATGTGGAGTCTGGGCATGAAGAAGGGTGTGAAGGGATTGGGTGCCCTACCTGGCATAGCTCCCATTTACAAAAAGGTGGCTCTGCACCAACAGCTAACTTCTGGAGTCGAGTTGTCTCTGCAGATATTAACCTGATAAAGCATGGAACACTTTAGAGGTAGTATGCAGAATATTTAAAACCTCAACTCCCTCAAGATACTAAGAGGGGTAATTGGCTTCATGAAAGGCGATTAAAAATAACTATTATAATTGAAGCATGTGTCAAATTAGAAAGCTAGAGATGTTAAATTACGGTTACCAAGCTAATCTGAAGCTAATCTGGTGTGAACAGTTTGCATCGACTATATGATTAGTCGATAGGACCACTATTCAGCACCCCAGGGAGCAGCTCCGGGAGCTTCCTGTGCTGCAGCTCTGCATTTTAAAGGTAGTAAAGAACTGCCAGGCTCTAACTATATTTAAAATGCAGAGGTGCAGCATCCACGTGAGCTGGGCCTGCTCTGTCCCAGTTTCCACTGAGTCCAGCGGCTCCTGTTTGCAGTTGCCAGGCTGGCCATGGGCAGGGGCTGCTTCACAGCAGTCTCCTATCCCACCCCGCTGCTTCTGACAGAGGTACAGGGGGAAAGCAGGTGGCATCTCGGAGGTGGTGCTGGGGGGAACCGGCTTTTAAGCTGGCTTGTGCTCTCCCCCCCTCCTCCCGCTTGCTGCCTCTGAAAGGCAGCAAGGGGGGGGGTGCACAGGGAGCACCGGGCAAGCAGGGACTCAAGCAGTACCACTCACCCTGTGTTCCCACTGCAGCATTTCAGCCTTTGAAATGTAACAAGAGCCCTATGTAGCAAGACACAGAGCTCTTGCTACATTTCAAAGGATAAAGCACAACAGTGGAAACTGACAGGAGTGGGGACTGCTTCAGTCCTGGCTCATGCCATTTCCCCACTGTGTGTCTTCCTCTGAAATGTACAAGAGCCGCAGCAGTCTCTGCCTCCCCTGTCCCCACAGAGATGGTGCTGGGGGGAACCAGCTTTTAGGCCACCTCCCCCCAGCATCATCTCCTGCTCCACCCCAGATGCAGCAGTGGGGGGATTGGAGAAGAGCAACTAGTTGAGTCACTACTCGACTATCGGATAAGCTTAAGGTTATCAAACAGTAGACTAGTCGCTCACATCCCTATAGGTAATGGAAGTTTTAACTATTGTGCTCAATTCTGAAGGACTTCAAGACTCATGCTCTGTAATCTTTCATAACAACTTGCTGGACTGAGTGCAAGCTTTGTGTCAGTCCAATAAAGGTAGCTCTGGGACCAGGGCACTTGCAGCAACATTTGGATGTAGATCACACTATCAGCTAACTCATATTCCATTTTAACACATCAAAGACGGCTGAAGCACCTCAAAGCACTTGGACAGCTCTGCATTTTCTTCCAGGAACATTATGAACTTCTGAGGACTGGAAAGAGAATATGGTTCTTTATATGAAATTATGATACAATAAATTATGTAATGTAGTAATTTGGTACTATAAGGATTGAGATCTTAAAAATTCAAGCAATCAAAGCTTATTTCAGAACAGAAAAAACAAGCAAGACCTTAGCTGGGTGAAGAGTTAAGCTCCTAGATCTCATAAAGGAAACTATTTTGTTTGAACACAGATAAGAAAGCTTTGTTAAACTTAGGAACACCTGCACCAACCCCTTCTCCCCCCCCCCCCCCCCAAAAAAAATATGAGAACAAAAATCTTATAAACAAAGCTCAAAAAAGCAACCACTGAAGGCTACTACAGGAGGTTCCCCCCCTAGTGTAGAACCACCTGTTGATATAGTTGCATTACACCAGGTCTTTTGTTGGCAGTTACACCGATCAACAGTATGGGTTTACCCCAACTAAAGTATCACACCAATACAGTTTTTCGTGTAGACCAAGCTTAAAATAATAACCAAAAGAACTTTTCCAATATCAGAGGTAAAAAAAAAGATATGAGCTGGATATAGAGGGAGAACTTTCCTTCAACATGAACGCATACCACATAACGTGGAAGTGGTGTAATAGTTTTAAAATTTTGAAGCTAGGGAATACCTGTTAGTCATATCCTAGAAGAAAAGACTTAGAAGTGGGCATCTATTTAATATTTACCTTTGAGAGAAAGTTTAAACCAACTAAACATTTATAACATATAAAAATTAGTTTCACGAAGAACACAGACCAAACTGAACAAAATAGTACGCACTTCCAACTTATGCTCTTTTTCTGCAAGGACTTCTTTTTGACATCGTAGAAAGTCTGATAACATTCGAGTTAATTGTTTTCTATCATCTATTTCAGCTGCCAACCTGCCATTGTAATCCGCCAGTACCATACAAGCATCATCTACCATCTTGGAAAGCTGTTCTCCAGATTCCTTATCTAAAAGACAAGCAAAGAGGAAAGAAAAAGTATACCAACACATTACTCAAATCTTGTCAGGTGATCTCACACTAACATTTCAATTACCGCATCCCCCTCTCACCTGTTATTCTGTCTAATAAGGACACATCCTGTACTTCTACGGGCAATGAAGCTATCCTCTGATGAACTGCTGCATCCCCCGAGGCTGCATTTTCTAGTTCTTGTAATGCTCTAATAAGATCTGCAGTCTGAAAAAGCACACAGGCATAGAACTGGTTTATTCATCAAATCCTTACGCAGAATGATGTCAGTGTCATTTCACAATGAGTTTATGTGATGTGATTTGACAATATCAATCTAAAAACTACTTTGGCAAAGTCAGCATTACCAATGTCTTCCCTCCCCAACTTCAAATAGGGAAAATATCAATATCTTTAATTCCCCATGGAGCAGAACTGCAGTGTTCCCAATTTTAAGATGGAACTTCCTGTTAAAAAGAGTCTCATTTTCCTTTAAATTCTTGCAATAGGACAACTTTTAAACATGAAGTACAAGGTTTATAGTTCATGACTACCAGGCGGCATCCTTCATTTTTACTAGGTACTTTTAAATTGCTTAAATTAAGTGCAACATATTAAATTACTTCTTGCTTAACTTTCCCTGTAGGTGAATCATAGCATAAAAGCACAGCAATAATTTCACTGGTAGCACATTCATAGAGCTGAACTTAAATCAAGTAGTAAAAATAAATTATCTGTGACAGTACTAAACTTTGATTCTCTTCACATATCCTGTTCTTAAAAACACACACCACAATTTACGGTTCTCACCGCTCCAGTTGAACTTAAAACCCTTCTGGGAAGAAAATGGGACATGACAAAAAAACATAAGCACAACACAGTGACAAGTATGAAAATTAGGAAAGACCTTGCATACTGAATGAAGCTGTTAAATAGTACAGTGATGGATCAAAATTTGATCCAATTATACAATGTTTTACATTTGCAATAGTCTTATCACAATATATTATTTTTCCACTATTAAACTTGTTTTTAAAAATTTAAAAAATATAAAACTAATTTTGAAACGTTTTTTAAAAAGTGTCAAATTTGCTACAATTATAAAATGCTATGGTACTGATGTAATTTGTAGCCAAGACACAGAAGTATTGTAATAAAGAAAAGAGTCCAGTACATGAGAAGACTGCTATAATGACTATTGTAAAATGAAAGTTAAAGGAAGAGTAAATTTTCAATTAATCTTCTGCCTCCCCACAAAATGTAGAGATTTACTTATGAAATGCTGCAAGAGCCAGCAGCACTGGGCCAGTAAGGTTCTTATACACCACTGGAGAACTATAAAGACCTTAAATGAACTCCAAAGAAGGCAACACAGATTCCATCAACATGGCAGAATCTTCTGGAAGCATAAATCTGGGCTAACGCACTGATACTTATGAACCACTCCGATGTAACGAAAACGCCTGCAGTAGAGCTGGAGTGCAAAATAGCCCATCCATATGGGCGGCTTCTGCAGCCAGCACAGTTTAGAGCAGCACTGAGGCTGCCCCAAATTACACCAAGGGTTGCGTTGCCCATGATAAGTCAAGGATTGGGGAAGAATAAAGGTGGTATACAGCCACCTTTACTTAACTTTCTAGCTCTGAGTGTTGATTAGCCCTTAAGGGACTACTTATAATGCAGAGTTGGTTCAGTATTACTCAGTGACGGCAGTTTCAAATTTTTTAAATATAACCCAAACCTTATGAAATAATAAAAATGTATGAACACAAGAGACTTCTACCTGTGGAGGGTCACTTGGAGAACTTTGTGCTGAACAGTTATTTTCATCAACTTTTATCTGTTCAAATATGCGCTTTCTGCCCTTTCTGTCACCATCTAAAAATCAAAGTAGAGACCTAAAAATCAGTTCAGGAAATAGTAACATTTATATAAAAGACTGAAACACGTGCGCACAGAATACTTACACAAAGCTTGTCTAAGTTGTTCTAATACATCATTTTCATATACCGATCTTTCTTCCCAGATAGAGAGCACTCGGCCAAGGTGCTTCTTACAACTCTCATCAGATTCACTGCGGGGGAAAATTATAAACTCTTCAATAAAAATGGTTAAAGTACAACCCAGTAATCAAGAACGCGGCCTTGCATAATCTTATACCAAGGACCTGAACCACTTCACAGAAATAAGAATTGAAGCTTCCAACACCTCTAAGAAATAAAGATCCTCATCTTGAAGAAAGAGAAGGAGAATGCGTAGAACTCAGCACATCCTTCTATACCTGTGGGTATCTGCCTCTGTGGATGTGAATGCAGAGATCCACAACTTATTTTTGCAGATAAGATGTTAATACAGATTTTGTATCTAGAACCCAGAGAATGTACATATATCCACTTTATATCCATGGATCTCCGCACCCACAGACGTGAATGTAGAGATCTACAGCTCATTTTCGTAAATGTAGATGCATCTGTGGATACCAATTTTGTATCTGCACAGGGCTCTAAAGATGTGACTTGTTCAAAGTAGGGAAGTGAACAGTTAACTGGCAAGGGCTGGAGCAGCCCCTCACCTGCTAGGGGCAGGGAGCTGCTCCAGCATCATGGGTCCCAGTTTAAAAATCAGCTCCTTGCACTGCTGCCTCTAAACTCAGGCACCCCCAGGGAAAGAAGCTGCTCTGGCATCCCGTGTGCTCTCCCTCCTCCCACTGCTGCCTCATAAGAGGCATCAGCGCAAGGGGAAGGGACACAGGTAGCTGAGCAGGGATCCGGCTCTTGGGAGAGCCAGCATTTAAGCTAGCTCCCCTCAAGCACTGGCTCACTCCGACATTGCTGTCTCTGTGGGAAGCAGCAGCAGCCAGGGGAAAAACAGCTCAATGGGAATCGGCACGCACGGGGAGCTCGCTTAAAAGCTGGCTCCCATCTCTGACCCCCTTGCTGACATTGATACAGAGGCACACCTGGGATCCCTGCTACCCCTCCCCCCCATGCCCTGGGTCCCAGCTGCTGGCTCCAGACCCCTCATACCTGCCAGGTCCCCTCATCCTAGCTTTGCTCCAAGCCCCAGCTCATGAGGACATCGGGTAGCATGGACAGGGGTTAGAGTTTTGCCTTTTAAAACCAGCTATTAAAAATATTCCAGCACCACTGGGCTTATGCTGAAGAAAACTGACAATTATGCAAGATCAGAGGAGCTTTTAAACTAAAAGGTGCAGTAAAAAAAAAAATTAAAAAATAGATTTCAGACCTAGGATAGTGTTTTACTGTACCTTGAAACGTGCTTAAAGGCCTCAACTATAACTGGTGCAAAGTCTTTTGTAAATTCTGGTCCTTTCCTTTTGCTGTTCTGAATGACATCATTGGCCAGATATAGGAATGTCAACTTCCTATTTGGTTTTGCTAATGAAAGAAAAAAGCAGATATATGCAACAATCCAAATAATTAGCAGCATAAAATGAATTTTGTAGGTTAACATTCAGTTAAGTTTCTTCCTACATCTTGTAGAGGATAAACACAAACTATCTAAAAATATAAAGTTCACTATTTCTATTAGCACCTCATGCTATTAATCTACTATATATTTGGGAGAGGTTGTCTGTTCAAGAACTCCTCCCAAACAACCAAATTTGGTATGCAGCTTCCTCTTATAATTTAAAGCACGGGTGGGAAACCTAAAGCCCAGAACCAGAATGTGAGGAGTATCTTTCTCTCTCTCAGTCAGGGACTACATCAGTGAGGATTTGGAGTTCTGGGGTTGTTTGGATTTTTTTGCTTCTCACTTGTGTGCAGCTCCCAACTGATTTTTCTATGGGTCAGTGGCCCTCAATCCAAAAACTGTTCCCCACCTCCTGATTTAAAACAAGGTAAAGGGTTTGGCTGTGCCAGGAAAATGGGATGTGGTTGGAATGGGGATTTCCCCTCTCCCTAAAACGGAAAGGGAAGGCTCTGCTATATAACCACCACATGGGGGAAGCAGGGAATAGGTGATGGAAAGCAGGGCAAGTTATACTGTATAATGACTAAAGGGGGGCAAGCAAAGATCCAGGGATCGGGACCAGGACAACTATAACCTCTATGGGCCAGCAGGGGACAAGGATGGAGAAAGCTACATATTTGAGAGGTTTGTCAGTCTGTCCATCCCCCCAACTGGGGATATGCATCCCTCCTCTAGCTGAGTTCACTGGAGCTGCAGTGGCCATAGGGGGCTGGAGTTGACCCCTCTCTCTGAGGCAGCCTGAGTACTGAACACCTCATCCAAAGCCTCACCCCAGAGCAATGATTTAAATTTAAAAAAAAAAAAAAAAAAGAGAGAGAGAGTTAAAGACCCAAGCAATACCAGGTAAATTTTCTAGTACTAAATCACAGCAACTTTCTATAACAAATTTGTCCACACAGATTTCAGCACTCAACACTGGGGCTACGTCTATACTGCTTTCTTCTGCCGAAAGATATGTAAATTCAGAGCTAATTTGCATATCTTCTGACCGTGTTATCAGAAGAGGTTTTGTCAAAAAAGAAAGTTTAGCTGCAGTTCTTAAAAAAAAAAACTTTTCCTAAAAAAATGAGATGTGCAGGGTTCTTTCGAAAAAAGGGTGATTCCCCCCCCCCAAAAGAACTGCATCTAAACTGCTTTATTTTTCAACAAAACCTCTTCTGATAATGCGATCAGAAGAAGATATGCAAATTAGCACAAATTTGCATCTTTTCAGCAGAAGAAAGCAGTCTAGACGTAGCTTCAGAGACAGAAAGTCACAGTGGTTTTCTATCCCCCATAGTCATTTTAAGTACAGATATAGCAATAACTAATTTGAAGTTTGGATGTTCTTTACATTTTGTCAAGCCACAATTCGCTCTGACCACTTGCTTCCCCTCTCATTCTACCGTATTTCTCTGCTACGATAGCACACACACTGTCACTACCCACCACGCTCATCAACTCTTCACAACATAACACTTAGTCCCCTAAATTCTTTCTTTCCACACACTAAGCTTACATATTTTAATTTCAAATTTAAAAGCACAATATGTATTTAAAAAAACCCAAGACATTATCAACCACCAAAGCAAACTTAGTATGATCTTGTAGCTGTAATTTTAGGGTAACTTTTTCAACAATGCTGCAGGGCATGTCTATGCTGCAATGTAAGCCCAGGGTTAGTGGGTCTCCAATCAGCTGACCTATACACAAAACCCAGGATTTGAGTGTTTACCACGATTGTAACCTGACATTAAGATTTTGCTAACCCAGTCTTGAATCTGAGATTCTGACATCCACACTGCAGCACACTGACTAAGTGAAATCAATCACATACCAGACTTTCAAACACCCTCCTGAAATACCCCCAACACTGGCATACTATGAGAAAGCTTGACTGTCCACATTGTATATTAGAGGAAGTTTCAACAGCCCACCAATACATCCTGGCAAGCTGTCATGATCTGTGTACCCAACTACTGGAGCCAGAACCTGGAGGAAGCACCTTTAGAAGACCTTTTCTTGCTTGTATTTTCAGTCCTGTGTCAGGAAAAAGATTTTGAGAGCAGATCATGACTATTTAAGTTGCATCTTCTAATCCACGAAAGGCACCTGACTGAGCTTATGATGGAGGAGGAAGAGGTGGTGGTGGCAACAAAGTACCAAGCATGGCAGACTCCAATGACTGATGGAATCTCATGACACTCAATACAACCACTCATGCCCCATAAGCAGACTCCTGGTGCAGGGCCACAAGCATAGGCTAACTGGATCATGTTGTCATGCTGACTTCGGGCATCATCCCAACTGACCTGCTCATCATGCACCATGACTGGATCTGTGCTTGAAGCACCCAAATTCCTCATAAAAAAGTGTTTCTGGTCTCTGGTTTTCTGTTCAGTCTTGAGATGTTTAATCCATTCTCTGCACTAGTCATCAGCTTAGTATGTTTGCACAGTGTCACCTTCATTATTTTCTGGTATGTACCATCAATCTTGGTATTCTTACAAAAATCCAGTTTTCCTGATCACACACCAGAGACTTATCATTCATGAGAGCCTAAATACCATTGACTTTCACAGAGGGTTAGGTTCCTAATTACTTTTGAAAATAGTATTCCTTAGTTCCCAACATTCCCAGTCCACTTAGTTTCATTTTGCCTTCCCTCTCCATGTACTTTTCATTAATCTATGCACTATTTCTTTAAAAATTAGTTCTAGTGCCCATGATCACAATCAAAAGCTTGTCTTAAATTACTGATTGATTCATGATTATCTCTAGCTCTCCAAACCTGAGCATATCAAGGATGCTGAGTGATCTACAACCATCATACCAGCCCATACATATATTTATTCACTGTTGCTGAAAAGAATTTTCCCAAGTTATGAAGCATCATCTACACTTGCTACTGACCCCTTTTGGAGCATCCCTTGAAATGAGAGCAAGGAAAACATGAACGCTGAGGAAAAACTATGGGGTAACCAAAAAAGCTGATTTGACATTACATGAGACTTTGCCCAGGTAAAGCTAACATTACATCATTACTAGAGTTCAGTTCAGAGGATGGCAATCACAAACAAGAAAAAGTTGTCAGTTTGGTACATTTTTTCCCCAAAACATGATACCTGGAGGCTGTCATGTGTTCTCTGGAAAGTCACCTAGGTATTGCCCTAACACAGCAAAGCCATCTCCCCAGGAGCCAGCTAAATGTAACCAATACCACTAACCAACAAGAATTAGTTTATCAGTTAAACAAACATCCCTCACACCGAGACATCTGGCGAATACAAAGGAAAGGATTGGATGTTAAGGCTGGATCTATACTGACATTCTGAAAATGTGCAATTTTACTTCTTGCACACTAATGTTCACGTACAATGCCATGGGCAATGGGTATAGAAGCGAGGGGAGGCAATGCCTTCCCAGTGCTCAACCTCTCCCCTCTTCCTTATTCTGACAGCTCCTACAACAGGTTGATGCAGCTTATTGACTAGGGAGGTACTCTTCCCTAGGTGAATGTGTTAACTTAAAAGTTAAAATCTTTCCAGCTTGCCAGTCCAATTAGTGTAATATTGAACATTGTGAAAGAGCCATTAAGTGGAACAGAAACCATTTAACAGGCATGTGCCAACCATATCTACAGAACCTTAGTTTGAAATTTACTTTAAGTATTTAATTAATGTGTAACTTAAAAAAAAAAATCACAGTTCAAAATCCTTGCATAGATATTTAAATGCACAATCTTAAGTATTCAGCTTTAGCATTAAGTGCTTAGATGTTCAGACATAGGGTTTTTAAATAAATTCTGCGGTATATTTAAAATAAAAATCAGCTTAGAAATACTGACAAAAAAATGTAAAACAGAAGAGCTGCATCAACTATTCCGTAATACTTCATGCTATATTCAGCAGAACAATTGACTTGCCCTTACTACAAAGTTTTTGTAAATAAATCTCTGAAACTTCAGGGTATACCAAAGAAATGACTTTTTATTCCAAATGTAGTGTTTTTAATTAGTTACCTTCTGCATGTTCAGTGGTGGAAGCTCTTGCCGTGATCACACTCCCAGGTAAACTTGAACATGTACACAAAGCCTAAATATGGCATCCAGTGGAAAACATGCTCCATTTTCTTCAAAAAGAAATTTTAGAAGACTATATTTTCCAAATGCATTTGCTACATTTGGTTTGGCTGGAATAGGTGAGTAAAGAGAAAAAGAAGACAGTGGGGAGAGGGCAGGACCTGGACCAGGGGTGTATGCTTGGGCCACAAGCAGGGAAGGCAGGCTCCTCCCAACAACAGCTTCACCTACAACCCATGTGCAATGCCCTCTGGTTACCTAATTGCAGTTACTGGCACAGGTCCCAGAAGTAATGGATTTTAGAACACCTCAAAAGGCAATGGTGTACTGTGGAACAGTTGCCCCATCTGGATCCATCCAAACCATTTCAATTACATCCATATTATCACTAAATAAATGCTGAATGAAACAGTTCAGACTAAACTATTAGTAAGACATTGAAAGAAAGCCTAGAGTCCAAGAAGTGTATGGCAGGCAAACAATTTAATACCCATTGTTTGTTACATGTATGCTAGGAGAAACCATATGTTCTTAGCTGGTCTTATAAATTCCAGACAAAGCCTGAGAATGGAGTAACTGTTCTCTGGTTATGAGAATATGTTTGGTGATCTGGTCTGATTGTTTGTGATCCTCCACAAGACTTAGAAAAGGTAATGGGAATGCTTTTTTATTTTCAGGCTCTTCTGACTATTGGAGCATTTTTTCCATGGTCTGACCATGCCTGAAGAGTCAGCACTGCTGACGCAACAAACTGACCATCAAGGATATTACTGACACCCAGGTGTGACTTCCCAGGTTATTCTAGCCTGTGTACAAGCAGCTACACTGCAAGCCTCTACCCAA